TCCAGCCCCTCAAGCCTATGAATTGACAGCTTTGTCTCTTTGCACTCCTAGAAACCCCAGTTCACTGTCTGTCTATAAGGACACAGGAAGACACCTCTCTACCTTAAAAGGCAGCCTATCAAAACGTGGATCAGATTTCAATAGGGCGGATGTCTGGTTAGCTTGGTGCCTGGCAGGATGATTTCAATTTCACAGGTCCTATTTCCAAGAGTAATTAATAATGAACAAGAATTTGGGAGTCCATTGTAGTGAGGTCCTCATTCTAGAAAACTCAAAACACTTCGTGTAACCAAAGGAAGAGACATCAGCAGAAAGAAAAGGTACGAGCAAGAAGAAAGCAAAAAAAAAACACACAAAAGCATTAAAGAGCCTTAGGATTCATCTTTATTTTCAGCTGTGATTCCAAAGAGAGTAATTTTCTGACATGGTGTTCCCTTAATCTTCTGTAAAGTCAGTTGTTTCCATAAATTAGAATTTTTGCAAGAGAGGGAGGCATGAGGCCAGCTTCAGTGCCAATGACAAATTATTTAGATCTAGTTATCTGCCCCTGAAATGGTTGTTTATTAACATACACAAAGGCACATGTAATTATTTCAGCACAGGAAATGAACAATTAAGCAACAAAATACATTTCAAAAATGGAGAAAAACATGACAGTGCACCTTGTATTATTATTTTGTTGTTTACAGAGGTGTACCCATGTAGTCTTGGGGCTCTGAAGTTTTACTACATCTAGTGATTTGTTCTGCTTTTTTTTTACAATAACTTGCAAACTATTTATATATATATTTTTGGCAGTGCCGCATGGCATGCAGGATCTTAGTTCCCCCAACCAGGGATCTAACCTGTGCCCCCTGCAATGGAAGCATGGGGTCTTAACTACTGGACTGCCAGGGAAGTCCCCAAAATATTTTAACAGAAACACAAAATTTAATTTTTGTGGTGATAATTCACAACTAAAGGACATTTCCATAGAAAAGACTTTTTACTAAGGTGATGGTTTTCACTTTGGAGTCTACTGATCACCAGGAGATCCACAGCTTTATTCTCAGCATCTGTGGTTCTTTTTTTTCTTTAGGAGTTCCTTTAATTTCTCAGGTTTGTGAAACATTGCTTAAGTTTAAGCCTAGCTTGGGCAGAAGAGTATTTAGCTGGGAGCTGAAACCACCTGTGGTTTTTTTAAAGGGCCTTTTAGGAAATCATTAGCATGAAAGTCCTGTTGGGTGAGCCAGGCAAGGATATAGTTCATCTTCTACTGCAGGGAACTGCACCCACTGCAGAGGTCATGCCTGGGAACATCTGGGTCCCACATTCCACACTCCCTCGGAATTGTCCCATACTCTCTTGGGGAGGAAAGGAAATGCCACAACTAAAGAAATTGTGACCTTGCTTGTATTGCCTCTGAAGGCTTAGACCCTTCTGCCCTCCTGGGAAGGGCTCCTCACTCATATGGAGAAGGAGCAGCGGTCCCATCATGTAGCCGTGGACTTGGGCAGTCCCATAGTACCTCAGAAGCCCAATGTCCACTGGAAATCACAGGGTAGACCTTCTAGTCTCCCTTTGCCTTCAGCCCAGCACGCTGGAGGACCACACTTAAATTCCCTGTTAATGCTCCCAGATCTCCCCACCTCAGGAGAGCCAGAAAGGGCGCAGTAGAATAGTAAAATGAGAAGTGCAGACAGGAAGATGCTTGCGAAACTTGTCTGCCTTTTGCAAAACATTTGTTTCTCCTTAAAGCTGAAGTTTTTGGCTTTAGACCAGAGAAGGGGGCGGGTCGGGGGGGGGGGGGGAGGGAGGAAGTGGGGAAGGAGACCCAGGACATATTTTGCCTGAAAGTGTGGGTAGGTGTCGCCTGTGTGCTCATCCCAGTTTTTAGCCACAGCCTGGGATGTATGCATTTGTGTTCCGTCACAGCTGAAGTCCTTGGGTGACAGTGAAGTCATCTGTAGGTGAGGGTGGTAATAAATACTTGCCCTGCCCCTCTCCTTTTGTTGTAAAAAGCAAATGAAATTCTGCATGAGGAAGTGCTTTGTAAACTATCCAGGGTTATATGACTGGGATCTACTGATCACAATTTACCAAGCCTCACGGTTTAAAGAGAAGGGCTCTAGTTTTGCTGTTAAAAGATCTTAGTTCACCCACTCACCAGCTGTGTGAACTTGGACAAGTCTTTTCACTTTTCAGAGCTTATTTTGGTGTTATTTTGTGGTGAGGGTGAGGGGTCCATTTGTAAAAATGGGAATAGCCTCTGCTCTGCTAACCCACAGGGTTGTGATTGTATCAAGATAGAAAACATGAGAAAGTTCTTTGTGAGCTGGAGACTGTTCTTAGCACAGCCAAAGTTTTCCAATCTCTCCATAGCCACCAATTGCCTGAAATCGGTCCCATCGATATCTCAGGGGTGTCCAGTCCAAATAATAATAACTCATTATCTTTTTCCCCCAAAACTGCTTCTTTCCTGGGATTTTTAGCTTGGCATGACTACTGTTTGGAGAACATAAAAAAAGCATATTCGTTGTCTCCAAACAACCATCGACTCAAGATGATTCAGGAAGCACAGACCAAGGACCACTGCTGTGGAGATTTCCCAAGCTTTGTAATCTACTCGTTTAGTAACTGTATCATCTCTTGTTTTTCTGTGGTGACTAGCAGTGAGAGAAAGCAGGCATAGCCCTAGGCTGCTCTCACCAGGGAGTCTTGCCAGAGGCTTCCGTGTTCTCTCCAGGGCCTTTTCCCCCTCCTTTAGTAGTCATCCTCACCCACTCCATTCCCTATGGCCTCCCCAACAATCAGCCTTCCTGCTATCCCCCAAAACAAGAACACACACCCACTTTCGGTGTGGAGGATCTTCACTGTTAATCACTGTGGGGAAGTAGATGGGGGGAGGGGCTGGTACTAAAATACAAAAAAGTGAGGAAGTTACAAAGCTGACAAAGTTTTCATATTAGTGAGCCCTCCTCTGGTTCCTCACTCTGAGGTGGTAAATGAAAATCCCTTTGGCTCTTGTTCTCAGCTTTTATTCCTGAAAGCTGTACTTCTCATCCAGCACCCTCCCCCCTCCCCTTAGGTTTTGGGATCCCTTTGGGCAAGTAACTGTCTGTGTTCTCCTTGGTGTTCCAGGGCTTAGCATAGAGCCTGGCACATAGGACTGACATATATTGAGCACTTACTATGTGCCAAGTACAGTATGAAGGCTTTACATGGATTATTTCACTTTGTCCTCAGATGATCCTTTGAGGTAGTTACTATTATGCTCCCATTTTAGAGAAAGGGAACTGAGGGACTTCCCTGGCAGTCTGGTCCAATGGTTAAGACTCCACATTTCCACTGCAGTGGGCACAGGTTCAATACCTGGTCAGGAAACTAAGATTTTGTGTGCTGCGTGGCGCAGCCAAAAAAAACAAGAGGAAACTGAGGCACAGAGAGGTAAAGTAAGTTGTCCAAGGACACACAGCATAGCTGGGATTCAGTCCCAGGCAGTCTGACTCCACAGCCCATAAGCTTAAGCACTATGCTGGAAACATTTAAATATTAAACAAACTCTTTTCCCCACTTCCCATCCCATGGACAGCCTTTTCCTGTTTCTCTAGAACATCCCTTGCTCACCTCAGTCCTCTACATTTCCTAGCGCAAACTCTCAACTATTTCTTGCAGTTTACAACAGCCTCATAACTCTTCTTCACTGGACCAGTGGTTTTTAACCTTCTTTCAATTTCAGAGCCTGTGGAGAATTTGATTGATGAAAGCTATGGATATTTCCCCAGATTTATATCCACATACACAAAAATTTCATGTATAATGGGGGAAGGGGCAAGGAGCACAGACCATCTTAAATTCATCCATGAGCCCTCAGGTTACCTTTCTATTGTTAGGGGTGGTGGCGGTGGCAGTGTGAAAGCAGAAACCCCTCTACAGGACTTACCAGGCCAGGTTTATCTTTCCAGCCTCATCTCCAGTCACACACCCCAAGTTTAGAGCGTACAGGGCAAGCACTTTCACATCTGCTTTTGAAGTTCTTGCTGCTTAAAATACTCTTCCCCTCCACCGCTACCTGACACACTTTTCACCAAAGTCCAACTCGAATGTTACCTCTCAGATGCCTTCCCTGACACCCCAATGCCCCCGAGCCTATTTGAGAAACTCCTCACCTGTGTGCCTGTTACACTGTTTATACCTACGATAGCACTGATCACATTATCCTAGTTGCCAAGGAGCCTGTCTCTCGACTCATCGTGAGCTCCTCCAAAGAAGGGATGGTATGTCATTCATCATTGCATCCTCGACATTCTAGAACGCGCGGGACACCGAATAGGTGCCCAAAACGTTTATTAAATTCGTTTTCGGGTAGCTCGGCTCACATTCAGCGATCGGCAAGTTCACTACAGGTTTGGAAAAGACAAATACACTTAGGAGAGAGCTGAGCGATCAAAGTTCTTTTCGTGGGGAATCAGCCAGAGGGAGAGTGAGCTTGAGGCCTGGATCTGGGAGTAGGGCAGAGACCGCAGCCGCTTGCGCCGACGCCGGGTGAGTAAGCCTCAAGCAAGGACACCTAAGACTCTGGGTCGGGAGGAAGGAAGCCGCACGCTGCATGCTGAGATCTGCGTTACTGACTGCCGCATTGCACGCCGGGGTTTGTAGTCCCGCCCCTTGCCGGGCTCCTTAGACCAGTTACATTCGGCTGCACTCAACCACGCCCTTATACAGATAAGGTACAGTATTGATCGTCCAGCACAGAATGACTAGGCTCTTCAAGGCAAGTTACCTATTAGCAGTTTTTAGAGCAAACATCATTTCGGCGTCGGCTACGAAGAAAGCGCATTGGGTGCGGACGCGCACGCGCAACGCGCGCGTGCGCCCGGGTGTGTGCGTGTGTCTCCCTCACTCCCCCCGCGAGTGAACGCAGAGGGCCCCGCCCCCAGAAGTGCCGGCTCTGCGCGCGTGCGTAGTCCGCGTGAGGCCGCCTTGAGCCGGGTGGCGCAGGCGCAGTGTCCCCGGGCCAAGATGGCGGCGCGGCGTTCTACACGCTGGTTGCTGGTGGCTGTGGGGACTCCGCGGCTGCCGGCTGCAGCGGGAAGGGGGGCTCGGCCGCCCATGGCGGGCGTGGTGGGGGCGTCGCTGGGCCGCAGTCTGAGCGTCCCAGCCTTTGCGCCTTCCCTGGGAGCTCGCGGTCCCGGGGCACTGCTGACATTGAGACCTGGTGTCAGCCTCACAGGTGAGTGCAGGCTCCAGCGCCCGAGTGAGGGGCTCCAAGGCTTGGAAAGGAGTGACTCGCTTCGCTCCGACTACGGCGGTAGCGGGGTGGAGCGTGTCTTCTGATCTACATGCAGAATCGCTTGGGGGAGATGGGCCAGCAGGAGGCAGAGAGATCCAAATGGCTACTCAGAGGTGGTAAACGAGGGAGAGCTGCGTGGAGCCTCCGGCGGCGGGGATGAAACGCCCCGCAGCCGTGAACCTTCATCTCTCTGTAAACATTTCTGGAGGCCTCTTTCCGGCCTGCCGCTGCTCTCCTGCCCAATTCCTTTCCCTTCCCTCTACCTCCTAGCCTGTAATGGAAGGGAAGAGGCAACTGCCATTCGGTGAGTACCTGCTCATGGGCTAGCTGGGCACTTTGTGCTTCTTCTTACTTGATGGTAACAACAACCCTGCAAGGTGGGGCTCATCATCCCCATTTTATTTTGTTTTTGTTTTTTGCGGTAGGCGGGCCTCTCACTGTTGTGGCCTCTCCCGTTGCGGAGCACAGGCTCCGGACGCGCAGGCTCGGCCATGGCTCACGGGCCCAGCCGCTCCGCGGCATGTAGGATCTTCCCGGACCGGGGCACGAACCCGTGTCCCCTGCATCGGCAGGCGGACTCTCAACCACTGCGCCACCAGGGAAGCCCCAGAATGGTCTCATTTTTAAATTCTGTTCCTGCCACCTATATTTGCTCATGGATGGACGGAGCAGTAGTCTGCCCAAGTTTCCTCAGGATTATTTGGATCGATGTCATGCTGTATTTCTCAGTATGAGCAAAAGTGGTCGTTTTTAGGTTTTGCCAACGTTTTCTAATGTCAAGGTTGTTGTGAATAGAATTTGACTACATCTTTGTGCTCAATTACTAATTCCTTAGATACCTATTAAGCTAAATTAGTTCATATCACATTTGTCCAGGTTTGGGAACATTTTTTGATAATTGTGTATGTGTATGTGTGAGAGACAGACAAGCACTAAGTACTGAGCCTGGCATGGGGTGATTACTAAGGAACTGCAGTCAGCTGCCCTTTTCCCCAAGTGAGCCCAGTGCCCACAATGGGCATGTTTTGTAAAGGTGTTGAACACCTGTGAGAGGTGGCATCCTTCAAGGTGCACTGTTACCATATCTAAGGTCATCATCTCAGCTCCCAAACGTTGGTGTGTGATCTCATCTCAAATCCAGCAGTACACTTAGATGATGTAAAAACAACACTTTATTTAAAATATTTATTTATTTATTTATTTTTGGCTGCATTGGGTCTTCGTTGCTGTGCGCAGGCTTTCTCTAGTTGCAGAGAGCGGGGGTTACTCTTCGTTATGGTGCGCAGCCTTCTCATTGCAGTGGCTTCTCTTGTTGTGGAGCACGGGCTTTAGGCTCATGGGCTTCAGTAGTTGTGTCATGCGGGCTCAGTAGTTGTGGCTCGTGGGCTCTAGAGCGCAGGCTCAGTAGTTGTGGTGCACGGGCTTAGTTGCTCTGCGGCATGTGGGATCTTTCTGGACCAGGGATTGAACCCGTGTCCCCAGCATTGGCAGGCGGATTCTTAACCACTGCGCCACCAGGGAGGTCCCTAAAAACAACACTTTAAATCTGACTTTTTCTCCCAGAATGGAAGGTAGTTATTTCACACCTTCTCCCAGAGTGGAAGGTTGGCCATTCTTGGAATGACTTGGAGGCTAATCCTGTTCTGGGTTGTTCTAAAATGGGCAAGACATTTATTGGTCATATCTCGGGGGAAAATGTGTCTATTAAATGAACTTTTTCTAATCATTACTAATCATTGATGCCTTTGGGATAATGTCAAGTCATCAAACTTGTGCTAGTTAAATGTACTTGTCTTTATATGCAGTTGTGCACATTACTGTCTCCCCTTCTAACCCAAGCCTGAGTTCTCTTCTCATGATGTAGAAGCTGCAGCTTCCAGAACCTTTGCCACTACCAGCCTCTGCCTTCTGGATTGGAAGGGGTGGGGGAAACAGGCAGGATAGGTCAAGGTAACCCCTCAGTCCTGGAGTGAAGCGGGTGTTGAGTATGGGAGCACTGAGAAATTAGCTCTGCTGTTTTTCTCAAATCTGACCAGGTAAAGATGACAGTGGTCTCTGCCTCTCCCACACTGTCTACTTTTCATATTCCAGGAAATCTAGGGTGCAGCAACAGAAAACAAGTATGGAGGATACTGAAAATACGGATTTACTTTCTGCTTCTGATTTTATCGTTTGTTCTGACCATTCCTACTTATTCTCCTGATTATCCTTTTTCTTGTCCCCTTCCTGGATATGCTCCACACCCTGGGTTGTCTTTTGTGCATACTTGAATTTTAAGTTGTCTCCCAATCCTTGTTGTTGTTGTTGTTGGAAAGCTCTTTCTCATGCAAATCTGATCAGTCCTCTGTTTAATGCTTGCACTGGCTCCCTGTTGCCCTCAGGATAAAATCCAGATGCTTTAGCATACTCAAAGGGCCTTCTGTTTATTCCTAGGCCCTATTAATTATCATCCTCATCAACATCTGTAACCACCCCTCTACCACCACCACCACCACCACCACCACCACCACACACACACACACTCTCTCTCTCTCTCTCTCTCTCTCTCTCTCTCTCTCTCTCTCTCTCTCTCATCTCTAGTTATATCATAGTACCTGCAGTTACACAAGGACTTTCTCTCTCCAAACCAAAGGTGATCATATGATGTAGTTGCTGAATGGAGCACTTTTGAAAGCAAAAGGGGATGCTATTGCAAACAGTGCCAGGACTACAGGCATAAATCTGGATGGATTCCAGCCCTCCTTAGCTGAGCTAATTTCTGCAGCTTAACAGCAGGTGCCTTAGAAGACCTTGAATTTCTGAGATTGGGTTTACTGGTTCTCAACTGGGGATGATTTTACCCTCCAGGAGACATCTGGCAACATCTGCAGTTTTAATTACCAGTTTGGGGTTGGGGGGTGCTACTGATAACTAGTTGGCCAGGGATGCTGCTAACACATCCTACAATAAATACATAGGTATGTTAGGCTATAAATAGATAACATAGGGCTGCCATAACTAAGTACCACAGACTAAGTGGCTTAAAAAAATAGAAAATTATTTTTTCACAGTTCGGGAGGCTATAAAATTCCAAGATCAATGTTTTGGTAGGGTTGTCTTTAAAGACCCCCACCTCCAAATGCAGTCATGTTCTGCAGTGCTGGGGGTTAGGACTTCAACATGTGAATTTGGGAGGGAGGACCCAATTCAGACCATGACAGCCCCCCCCCTCCCCCTCCCACGAGGAACCTGATCCCTTTGTCAACAGTGTGGAGGCTGAGAGACTGGCTAGGTGACCCTTTTGTGTATTCTCACCCTGTGTCCCTGTGTGCTAATATCACTTCACACACTGCCTCCCACACACCCCTGCTGGGCGGTAAGCTCCTTGAGGGCACTGGCTTAGACTTGTATCCTCATTGCCTAGTACAGTATTAAGATCGTGCTGTGTCCCCCTGTGAGGAGCCCAGTGCCTGGCAGGCTTGTTTGCTGAATGAATGAGTGGTGAATCTAGAAGCTTCTCCTTGGCAGAGGAACCTTTGACTTAAAAACCTGGAGCTGCCTCATGATCCTCATTCTCTTTTGTGGCCCTGCCCTCTCTTTTGCAATAACTTGGCCCCTTCTGCTCCCAGCCCTGCCCTCCCCATCTTCAGTTGTCACAGGATGGTTGGGGGTTAGGAGGCAGGTTGTAGAGCAGCCCTCCCCCCTTCACAGTCCAGTTGGCTCGCTGCTCCATACAGAGGGCAGTTGAGTAGATGTGTCTGTCAGCCTTTCCTCCCAGCTTCTGAGGCAGGAGGCCTGAAAGGAGGGCAGGGCATGGAGGTGGGGCTACCATGTGCTTTGATCCCTTTTGGGTTGTCTGCTCTGGGGTAAACAGAGGTTCTGGCACAGGGCCGTTTAACCTTGTGTGTCTAGATATATGTATTGTTTTTAGGGGAGGGGTCAGTGCTTTTATTGGATGCTTTCAAAGAGATCTGTGACTCTAAAGACCAAGAACCATTTATTTAGCACAGGGGTTCTCAAATTGAGTGTGCCACAGAATCATCAGCTGGAGGGCTTGTTAGACACAGCTTGCTGGACCCCACCTCCAGAGTTTTGGATTCAGGTTTGGGTGGGGCCTGAGAATTTATATTTCCAGCAAGCTGATGATGCTGCTGGTCCAGGGACCACACTCTGAAAACCATCCCATAAGCAGATATCCAGGGTTGCATGGTGGAGGGAAAGAACCTGGGGGTTGTTAAGCTTTAAGTGAGACAAGGCCTATGTGAACACTTGGCATATGGTGGGTGCTCGGCCAGACGTGTAACAGGAGAGCTTAGTTCCTTTTCAGTCATCCCCAGGTGCAGCCCCCATCTGGGGGTGGTTCCTTTAGAGGTATAATGAGGCTACAGCCCTAGTGTAATCCAGCAGAATCAGCCCCACTCAGCACTCTGTTTTTTGTAGATTCGGTTTACAGTGGCTTTAGCTGTTTTTGAAGTGCAGTGAGTTTGGTCCCCGGTGGGCTTGGAGGAGAAGAGGCCCTAAAGCTGTGACCTCTTTGCTCTTTCACAGGTGTAGCCTGGCTGGTTGTTTGCTCACAATTTCCTTTTGCTGAGTACATTCCCAGAGTGATTTTCTTTCCTTTTTTCTTTTTTAGGAGTAAAAAGTTACCCTTTTCTTTGTACTGCCTCCTTCCACACGAGCACCCCTTTGGCCAAAGAGGATTATTACCAGATATTAGGAGTGCCCCGAAGTGCCAGCCAGAAGGAGATCAAGAAAGCTTATTACCAGGTCTGTATGGAAGATTTTACAGACGAGACTGCAGAAGGGACGCTGTGGATGTAGTGTGATCCTGACGGGTGCAGTGTGTGTGCCCGTACCTGTCGGTTGTGTGCAGCCGAGAGTGTGGAATGAGATGGTAAAGATGGGCTCTGCTGGACCATGTTCCTCAAGTGCGTGAGGCCACGCTGGTTAATGCTGCAGAAAAAAGGAGAGTCAGAACCAGAGATTTAAAAAAAAAAAAATCTTGGGTTTCCCTGGTGGCGCAGTGGTTGGGGGTCCGCCTGCTGATGCGGGGGACGCGGGTTCGTGCCCCATTCCGGGGGGATCCCGCATGCCGCGGAGCGGCTGGGCACGTGAGCCATGGCCGCTGAGCCTGCGCGACCGGAGCCTGTGCTCCGCAACGGGAGAGGCCGCGGCGGGGGGTGAGGCCACGCTGGTTAATGCTGCAGAAAAAAGGAGAGTCAGAACCAGAGATTTAAAAAAAAAAAAATCTTGGGTTTCCCTGGTGGCGCAGTGGTTGGGGGTCCGCCTGCTGATGCGGGGGACGCGGGTTCGTGCCCCATTCCGGGGGGATCCCGCATGCCGCGGAGCGGCTGGGCACGTGAGCCATGGCCGCTGAGCCTGCGCGACCGGAGCCTGTGCTCCGCAACGGGAGAGGCCGCGGCGGTGAGGGGCCTGCGTACCAAAAAAAAAAAAAAAAAAAAAACTTTTTCCAGGGCTGTTTTTGTATTTAAGTCTCTTCTGTATCTTCTGAATCAATAGGTGTGCTGCTCTAAGTTTTAGGTACTCATTCTTTGCATTTAGATAAAAGTGTATGGGTTTAGAATTATTTCATTTTTTTAACCCATCGTCCATATCCCGGAATGTATTGGGCTGATTGGTAAAGTGGCATGTGAGTTATCTAGACCTGTGCTTTCCAGGCTTTTGCTCTGATGAACACACTCAAAATAAAAAAAAAAATTAAAGACCAAGGGTGCCAATGTAGGAATGCTAGCTTTTGTATTTTGCCTAATATAGGTGTTAAAAATAATCAAGTACCATCTATTAATGTCATTTGATGAAAGAAAGAGCACTTTAACACCATAAGCATAGGAAAGCCGTATCAGAATAAAGAAGATTAAAAAATTTTTTTTAACATCTTTAATGGAGTATAATTCCTTTACAATGGTGTGTTAGTTTCTGCTTTATAACAAAATGAATCTGTTATACATATACATATGTTCCCATCTCTTCAAGAAGATTAAAATTTAATAAAATTAATAAATTAAATACAATTTAAATTTTAAAAATTACTGGGAGTTCCCTGGTGGTCTGGTGGTTAGGATTCGGCACTTTCACTGCCGTGGCCTGGGTTCAGTCCCTGGTTGGGGAACTGAGATCCTGCAAGTTGAGCAGTGCGGCCAAAAAGAAAAAAAACTTTTTTTAAAGCCAAATACTGATCAAGACCAGACCTTATAGCTTGGATAGCTACTCTCTCCTCTTTACTTTTTTTTTTTTTTTTTAAGGGTGCAGTTCACTGGTTTTTAGTATATTCACAGAGTTGTATAACCATCACTATATTCAATTTTAAAACATTTTCATACCTCAAAAAGAAACCCCACGCCATAAGCCCTTATTCCCCATTCTCCTCTGCCTTTGAAATTGCTAACCTACTTTCTGTCTCTATAGATTTACCTATTCTGGACACTTCATAGAAATGAAATCATGTGATATGTGGACTTTTGTGACTGGTTTGTTTTACTTTATTTTTTATTTTTCTGGCCATGCCATGTGGCATGTGGGATCTTAGTTCCCTGATCAGGGATCTAACCTGCACCTCCTGCAGTGGAAGCGCGGAGTCTTAACCACTGGACTGCCATGGAAGTCCCATGGTTTCTTTTACTTTAGAATAATGTTTTCCAGGTTCAACCATGTTGTAACATGCAGCAGTACTTCATTCCTTTTAGTGGTCAAATAATATTCCATTGCATGGATATACTATGTTTTATTTATTCATCAGTTTATGGATATTTGGATTGTTTCCAGCTTTTTGTTATTATGAGTAGTGCTGCTATGAACATTCCTCTGTAAGTTTTGTGTAGACTTATACTTTCATTTCTCTGGGGTATATACATATACCTAGGAGCAGACTTGCTGGGTCAATTCATAGCAATTCCGATTGCCATGTTTAACATTTTGAGGAACAGCCAGGCTATTTCTTTTTTTTCTTTTATTGAAATATAGTTGATTTACACTGTTGTTAGTTTCAGGTGTACAGCAAAGTGATTCAGTTATACATAAATATATATATTCTTTTTCAGATTCTTTTCCCTTACAGGTTATTACAAAATATTGAGTATAGTTCCCTGTGCTATACAGTAGGTCCTTATTAGTTATCTATTTTATATACAGTAGTGTGTATATGTTAATCCCAAACTCCTAATTTATCCCTCCCTCTCCCCTTTCCCCTTTGGTAACCATGAGTTTGTTTTCTGTGTCTGAGAGTCTATTTCTGTTTTGTAAATAAGTTCATTTGTATCTTTTTTTTTAGATTCCACATATAGGTGATATCATGTGATATTTGTCTTTCTCTGTCTGACTTAACTTCGCCTAGTATGATAATCTCTAAGTCTATCCATGTTGCTGCAAATGGCATTATTTCATTCTCTTTTTATGACTAATATTCCATTGTATATATATGCCATATCTCCTTTATCCATTCATCTGTCAGTGGACATTTAGGTTGCTTCCATGTCCTGGCTATTGTAAATAGTGCTGCAGTAGACGTTGGGGTTTATGTATCTTTTTGAATTATAGTTTTCTCTGGATATATGCCCAGGAGTGGGATCCCTGGATCATACGGTAACTCAGTTTTTAGTTTTTTAAGAAACCTCCATACTGTTGTCCATAGTGGTTGTACCAATTTACATTCCCACCAGCTGTGTAGGAGAGTTCCTTTTTCTCCACACCTTCTCTAGCATTTATTTCTTGTAGACTTTTTGATGATGGCTATTCTGACCAGTGTGAGGTGATAACCTTATTGTAGTTTTGATTTTCATTTCTCTAATAATTAGCAATGTTGAGCATTTTTTCATGTGCCTGTTGGCCAGCTGTATGACTTCTTTGGAGAAATGTTTATTTGGATCTTTTGCCCATTTTTTTTTTTTGCGGTACGTGGGCCTCTCACTGCCGTGGCCTCTCCCGTTGTGCAGCACAGGCTCCGGACGCGCAAGCTCAGTGGCCATGGCTCACGGGCACAGCTGCTCCGCGGCATATGGGATCTTCCCAGACCGGGGCACGAACCCGTGTCCCCTGCATAGGCAGGTGGACTCTCAACCACTGCGCCACCAGGGAAGCCCTCTTTTGCCCATTTTTTGATTGGGTTGTTTGTTTTTTTGATATTGAGCTGTATGAGCTGTTTGTATGTTTTGGAAATTCATCCCTTGTCGGTTGCATCGTTTGCAAATATTTTCTCCCATTCTGTAGGTTGTCTTTTCATTTTGTTTAGTTTCCTTTGCTGTGCAAAAGCTTTTAAGTTTAATTATTTCCCATTTGTAGATTTTTGTTTTTATTTCCATTACTCTAGGAGACGGTTCCAAAATGATATTGCTGCGATTTATGTCAAAGAGTGTTCTGCCTATGTTTTCCTCTAGGAGTTTTACAGTGTTCGGTCTTACATTTAGGACTTTAATCCATTTTGAGTTTATTTTTGTGTATGGTGTTAAAGAATGTTCTAATTTCATTCTTTTACATGTAGCTGTCCAGTTTTCCCAGCACAACTTATTGAAGAGTCTGTCTTTTCTCCATTGTATATTCTTGCCTCCTTTGTCATAGATTAATTGACCATAGGTGTGTGGGTTTATTTCTGGTGCCAGACTATTTCAAGCAGGCTGCACTGTTTTAGATTTTCACCAGTAGTGTGTGAAGGTTCAAATTTCTCCACATCCTCACAAACACGTGTTATCTGTCTTTTTGATTCAAGCCACCCTAGTGAGTGTGCAGTGGTATCTCACTGTGGTTTTGATTTGCTTTTCCGTGGTGGCTAATGATGTTAAGCACCTTTTCATGTGATTTTTGGCCATTTGCTGTATGTATTAGATCCTTTGCCCATTTTTAAATTGAGATATCTTTTTATTTACTGGGTTGTTAGGGAATGAGGAAAGACTGGGGATAGGAAGCAGAGATCCTGTCTTGGGATAGTGAATAGTGAGTCTCTTGAGCTGGAAGGTAAGGTACCTGATACAAGGGTGGGAGAAGATTGGAGAGATGGAGCCTGGGGCCAACTTAAGGGGGCATGTGAGGCCCTTAGCAAGTACTAGAGATTTAAGAGAGAGTAGGAAACCATCCAAGTTTTTAGGTGTGGAAGTAAATAGATCAGGTAAAGCTGTGTAATTTACATTCTTTTTTTTTTTTGCGGTACGCGGGCCTCTCACTGTTGTGGCCTCTCCCGCTGCAGAGCACAGGCTCCGGATGTGCAGGCTCAGCGGCCATGGCTCACGGGCCCAGCCGCTCCGCGACATGTGGGATCTTCCCGGACCGGGGCACAAACCCGTGTCCCCTGCATCGGCAGGCGGACTCTCAACCACTGCGCCACCAGGGAAGCCCTAGCTGTGTAATTTAAAACCAGAAATTTAGAAAGTAGGCTTTATGGAGCAATAACTGGGGTCAGACATTGATAAAAGCTTTTCATGTGTTACATCATTTAATCCTCATGGCAAAAGACTTGGCAAGGTTATGACATGCAGCTGAGGCCACACAGTCAATAAGTGTCATACATAAGACTAAAACACAGGTCTTTCTGACTGCAAAAGGCCTCTCTTTTCCTTGTGCTGATCTCATGAGTATATCAGCGTATCTTGCCCTGGCCTGGAACTAGCCTTGTGGCCCACCGTGATCTACTGCCCTGCCTTGAGAGCCCCCTTCTGGCTGAGCACTCAGCCTCTGACGTCCTTCCACGTGCTGGTGTGAGGACCAGCATGTCCAGCAGCAGAGTGAGCAGCCAGTTGCCGGCAGTGGTGGAGCTAGACGTCTCCTGAGTCGCTTTCAGCTTTAGGATTCTGTGCCCTCCTCACCCTCCATCAGGGTGACCCAGACTTGGAAGGCATCGGTAGCTGCAGCAAACATAGTGAACACCTACAAAGGTGTCACACAGCACTGCTAAGCATGGCCAGGAAGAAACCTTCATTTTAGAGCTGCTCAGCTTGCCTGTGTGCTCTGGACAGCCAAGGGAGATCTTGTTTTGTTTTTCAATATTTAAATCTATGTTTTTAGTAGGTAATATATTCCCCTGGTTCAGAAATCAGAAAGTACAAAGGAGTGTTCAGTGAGAAGTCTTCCTCCTTCCCGTTCATCCACATCCCTCCTGGAGCAGTCAGTGTTTTCAGCTTATTGTATGTTCTAACCTAATTTATACAACAGATACAGCTATTTATCTATCCAGTTATTTTTCTCTCTTTTTATATAGATGGTAGTCTACCAAATACACTCTTTTGCATCTTTCACAGAGGTGCTCAACTTCTAAAGAATTAGTTTTTATTTTTGTTAGAGATTTGTTGTGGTTGAAAAATGTGTACACACCTCAGATTTGAAGAGATGGTTTTATTTATTTATTTATTTCTCTTTCCCAAAATTCAGTTTGTCATTTTGTAATAAACTTTTGATCAAATTTGAAAGCTGAACACAATGTGTGTGTTCTTAATTCTGGCTGTGCTTTGCTTTTAGTTTTTCTTGAGGTATAATTGACATGTTAGTTTCAGGTGTACAACATAATGACTCAACATTTGCATACACTGAAATGATCATCACAATAAGTCTAGTTAGAGATGGTTTATTTTAAAGTCTTAAACCTTGTTTTAAGAATTGCTATTGGTTGTAAAGTCTCAGACAACTGCTACAAAGGAGGTGAGGTGTAACTGGTATCTGGGGTTCTGTTTCAGTAATCATCTTGTGTCCATAGTAATTTACCATTTCCTCCCTTAGCTCGCCAAGAAATATCACCCAGACACGAATAAGGATGATCCCAAAGCCAAGGAGAAGTTCTCCCAGCTGGCAGAGGCCTATGAGGTAATGCAGCCCACCGGTGTGTGCAGTCACTGTCATTCTGCTGTGTGTGTGCATCAGAGCTCGCTGCCCAGGGCAACTGCTGTGTCAGAAGGTCCAGTGGGAAGGCTGTGTTCCCCACGAGATCACCTCGTTGAAGGAAAAAAAAAAAATTCCCAGATCCAAAATTTTCACATTAGATCTAACTTGGAATCTCAACAAAGAACAGGATCCAATAATCTGTGTTAACAGCGCTCCCTCCACTCGGACTTGTAGCTGGGTCTCGGAACTCCTTGTCAGAGTAAACAGTTTTGCGCCTATTTGATGACCCCTCCCACCCCCAACTTAGGGCATCACTGTCTGGTGGGAATGGTGGGTGTTGTAAAAATAGACCACCACTGCCCTAGAGGAATGTAGAATGTAATCGGGGGACGAAGCGGACATGAAACAGCCACTGAGCATTGCAGAGTTAAGTGAAAGCGGACCTCCTTCCTGGACTTCGGCCGTGCTGAAGGGGTTCAGGATATGTAGGATATCCTACGTCTGCTGTGTGTGTGTGTGCGTGTGCGTGCGTGGGCAAGTGTGCATCCCCTGACCATTCGAGACTATCGCAGACGC